CAAGCTGCTTTTTGGTGATTTAAACACCACATTGGCCATTGGGTGTATGAATTGGAACGTTGGGAAAGGGAATAAAATCCCTGTGGATGGGGGCTGGGAGCTGTGGCTGTAACAGCCGCTGAGGATTAAGGTCTTTTGCCCCAGTGAAGAGGTTTGATGGGAGCCCACAGGCACAAATCTAGCTCCTAACATTTTCTTTGCTTAAGGAAATAATGAAACACGTGTAATTTGGGTGTATTAAAGCTCCTTTCCCCGCCAGGTCTGCAACCGCTGTTGAGATCAGTGTGACTACACCAGCTCCCACTCCCTGGAAATGTGGCTTTTTGCTATTTTCTTTTTGTCTGTAATATTTTTATGTTTTTCTGTGTATATTTAGTAATTATTTTTCAGCCGAGCCGCCTATTTTTAGCCGTGGCTTTTAGCAAAAGCAACAGGATGGCTTGAAAAAAACAGCCAGCCCCACACCAGGGATTCCCACGCTCCAGCCGGCCGGTGACCGGCAGCACTGGCTGCGGGGGGGGACACAACAGCACGGCTGTATGCTCAGTTATCCATTCTATATCTGTACCTGTGCCACATCACACCTGGTTTTTAGGGAGAAAAAGGCAATTTTCAGGAAAACTCACTTGCCTCAGCAGGGACCACACTGGCCCTGCACGCCTGGGATGCCCCGAGCTGGGCTGGCCTCCACTGCTGGGTGCAGGGGCCAGGAGGAATCCCAGCATCAGTGAGAGCTGGAACAAATCCCTCTGTTACGATACCCAGCCTGGCACCTTTTCTAGACCAAAAAAAACCTCTGGGTGATGCCTTCCTGGTAGGAACAAGCCTGAGCCCTGCACTCCCCCAAATCCTGGCTGCCCCAGTGGGGTTCACCCACTTTGCTACTAACTGGGTGGAAAATACTGGTGCATCAGTGATGGAAAACGTAACTTTTGAATTGAAACTAAGAAGCAGGGAGGCTTCTGCTTTCACTCTGAAAAGGAGCCACTCTCGGTGGTGGGTGATGCCGTGCCGTGCTCTGGGGAGCTGCTTTGGGTCTTTACAGCAGAGGTTTTTGCCCTGGCAGGTGTCAGCGATTTCAGCTTCTTTCCCACAGAGCCGCCGCTTTTCCTTTCAGTTCAGCCAGGAGGTATGGGGAGAACGTTTTTCTGCCAAGCAGAGAAAAACCCACTGGGAGGTGAAAAAAGTCTGGAAAATTGGGTGGCAAGAGAGGATGTGATCCACAGGTTTAAAAACGCAGAGGACCACCGTTGGGTGGGCAAAGGCTGCAGGCTCCTGGAGACGCAGGAGGTGTCTCGTGACACCTGGAAAATCTCACTCGATGCTTGTTTGCACCTTCAAGGGTGTAAGAAAATGCTTTGCAAGGATGTGGGGTGTCCCAGCCAGGGTTAGAGCTGGCTTTGAACAGCGATGGACCCAACACAGTGCAAAATGGGCTTTGAGATACCCACTCCAGAATGATAGCTGCCTATTTAAGGTAATTAGGCTAAATAATCAGCCTTAAAATGCCATTTTAAAAAATATTTAAGAGAATTCCAGTCTCCACCCATGTGCAACTTGATATAAAACCCAAGCGAAAGGGGGGGAAAAAGCCAGGCTCAGATTTGGTGGGTTTAGGGCTGGTGATGGAGCCGGTGCAAGGTGCACGGAGGCCGGGGACCCCCCCTTGCCCAAGCGCTGGCTCTGCAGCCTTTCAGCACAGCTTTGTGCTGATGAGGAGCTGGCAAACGAAGGCTAATTACTCTTGCAAGTAGGGCTGGCAGCTACGGGATAGCAGAGCCCCATAGGAGCCCATTTTGGGAGGGAGCAGTAGGATGGCAGCTTACAGGGGAGTTTGAGTCCTCTGGTGTAAAGAAATGCTTCTTTTGCAAGCAGCTTTTTTGGGTTGTAGAGGGCGTTTTGTCTCAGTCGAGGGATACAGGGGACGGGAGCAGCGCCGATGCTTTCCCCTGGGTGAGAAAAATATTTAACGGATCCATAAATGTGCTGGAAGGGAGAAACGCATGCAGAAAGCAAGGTAGATGTGCTGAGCTTACTGGGATGGAGGAGGACTGGTTGTCCCTTGGCCTGAAGCAGTGGTGGGTTTTAACTCAGAGCAAATGAAACCCCAGTCTCATCCCGTTGGGCAGCAGCTCACTGTGCACACTCTGGAACAGCGACAGCGGGCAGCTCACGGGCTGGGTTTTGTTACTCCATGTCATGGGTAAAAGCTGAAGGTTTTGGCAAAGCTGGAGCGAGCGGACCAAGAGCAGACACAGCTGTGAATGCTGGATCGGTGCTCTGATGTCAGGGGCATCCAGCACCATTTGCCCAACTAAAACCCAAATTTTGGTGCCTGTTTTCCTGGGTGCTGCTGGTGAAAGAAGGAAATCATCTGAGTATCAATGGCTCTTTATTAAACTCAGAGACAAAAACAAATCAGGTGTTTTCTTGGAGCGTAGGTACCAGCTAGCAAAAATCAGCACCAAAATTTCCAAGTCCAGACGTTTATTCCAAGCGCTTTTGCATCCTTTTAAATGAATTCAGCCTCTTGCCACGTGCAGTAAATAACCCCTGACCCCTCTGCATAACAGACAAGTATCAGAACGACCTGGCGAGATCCTGAGTTGTAATTACAGTGCAGAGCCCCAAAGAGATGATGTCCATGTACTGTACATGCTAAACATCATTAGCATGAAAATAAAATAGCATCCTTACTCATTAACCTGTGGGCTCCAAGGCAGGAATCCTATTATCCAGGCACACAAGCCATTAAGCGGGTGAAATAAGATGCCGTCTGTATTCCCTTGGGAGTGTCATTAAACCCTTTTCTTTGCAAGCAAAGTTTAGCACAACAGTGTGAGAACAGCCCCGTGAGGATGGGAGGAATCGGGAAATATTGGGAAGCGTGGTGATTTTTAGCTTTGTGGTTGGGATTTGGACAGTGAAGGTCAGGAGCTGAGCTCTGCCAGGGCTGGCATGATAGGAAATAAGCTGCCTGGAAAGAAAATTTCCTTCTAACAGCCATTCTCGAATATTTTGGCATTTTCCCTCCAATCTGAGGATTTATATACATTCTAGGGTGGTTTTAATTTGTCGGAAGTCTGATGCTCTCAGCATCTACCCACTGTCTACTTCAATAAGTATTTTCTAGTTCAGCATGGGGTCCAGCAGCAGAACCCTGCACCTGCTTGGGTCCCGGGGAAGAGAAATAAATACAGATATTGCTGTGGTGTGGGGCAGCGTTGTTCCTGGGTGACTGCGGTGGGCAAGCGTTTTAGTCACCCTGGTGCTGCAGAGGCTCCTGCCAGGGTGTAGTTTCATCGATTGCAATGAGTAGTAAAGAGGCTCTGGGGGTGAAAGGAAGAGGAAGATGCTCTAGCAGCTGGGCTTAAATCCAAACGAAATGGTATGGAGGCTTTGGGTTTACTCCCGGTGGCTCCACAACCTCCTGGGGGTACAGTGGGGTGTCCTCACGTTGGGATAAAAAAACTCTGCTTTTGTAGCTGCTCTGTTTGAACAGCTTTGCTGCTGCCCAGGTGGTGCCTAGGCTTGTTGCAGGGGTTGTTTTTTCGGTGCGGCATATTCACAGGCTCTCGTCGAAGTGTCACCTGCTATTTTTCTGTTATTCACAGTGAAGGAAGCATGCCCAGTTGCTCACAGCACTGTAAAACCATCGCTGGCCCCAAACTGGTTCAAATTCCTACATGAAGTATCTGCGGAGGGGCCAAGCGTGGCCGGCTCCCAGTGACACCAGGGTCCTGCGAGGTGGCTGAGCTGTCCCTGCGTCCCCAGCATCATCCCAGCAGCCCAGTGCCCGGCAGGGTGGTCACACAGATGCCCCCTCCTCTGTCCCAGTGGGGTTTCGGACTTCTCTGGCCTTGCTTTTGGGGCTCTTTTCCATCTTAGTGACTCCAGGGCTAGATGTCGTACGAGCATGGGAGTGTTTCCTTTCATGAGGGTGGTAGTAGGGTTGGATACATCTATTTTTCAACAGATCAGGGCTGTAGCAGCCGTACAGCAGCTCTTAGCCCTTCCCACTCCTGTGTCTCCTTCCATGATATTAAACTTCAGTCCCTAAGTGACTCCCCATCACTGGAGCAGCAACAGACCACGGTCCTCTGTATGAAATGGCACAACATCACCGAGAATAACATTTGCTGCATTAGAAAAGCCTCTGCAGCATCCAAACCACACAACAGCATTTTGGTTTGATGTACACCTCGGCGAATCTGTATGGCCACGGGCTTTCCCATCCTTCTGCCAACGCCAGAAGTGTGGTGGCACCGCCACCGCTACCCACTTCATGGCTTTGCAGGGAGAATTGGAAGCAAAAGGGGGAGAGAGGTACCCTGCTAGCTGGCTGCTCAAATGCCTCTGCAGCCAAAAAAAATGGGGGAGAGCTGAGAAAAACCAGCGCGGAAACAGTGCGAAACCTTGAGCTAAACCTCAAGCGATGCCGCAGAGCTTTTTGCCTGACGAGAGCGGACCCAGCCAGGAGCTCAGGCTTGTCGGGGATGCTCCGTGGGAGCTGGGCTGCGGCAAAGCGGGGAGGATTTTGGCAGCCTTCCCCGGGGGATGCTCTTTCCACCCCTCCGTGTGCTCTGTGCACCAGACGGTTAAATTGCATCCCCTCTCGCTGTGCACCCTACAGCCTGCACCGATGCGCCGCGGCAGGGCTCGCCCTAAGCTGGGGAACAGCTGAAAGCCTGGCTGCCAACAGCCCTCGGATAGTTGCCCGCTGACTTAAAACCTCTTCCTGTGCTGAAAACCTCACTGAATGCAAACAAATAATATTGCTGGGGGCTGTGCTTGGAGGGCACGGGAGGGAGGAGGGGGATACGGAAGGAAACCCACAGCCTTTCTGCCTCCCCGGCGGGGTACGGAACTCGGCGTGTGCAAGGGCTCTGGGTTTCTTGGTGCCATAAATAATGTTCTTGTTGCATTGACTGGCATCACAGTAACCTAACCTGGCTCCTTTTTTTTTTTTTTTTTTTTTTTAATATTCTCTTTATTTAAAGGTAGCAAACGCCTGAGAGGAGCAGATCTTCCCCTAGAGGCACAAATCACCGGAGAGACCTGCTTCTGGTAAAAAAATACTCCTCCTCGTACTCCCCGGTGGGCAGGGGTTGGCTGGGGAGGGGTCTCATCCTGAAATGCTGCCTGGCCCCAGCACGACTCGCTCTCCGGTCACCTCTGAGCAGGGGCACCTTACTCAGTGCCAGGTTGTGTTTTTCTGTAAGTCCCAGGACGGGCCTCTGTCCAAACATCCTTATATCCCCCAAGATGGGCTTGAGCTGAAGGTCTCCTCCCTAAAACACTACAAGCTCATCATTTTAGGGCTGTGCCATCCTTGCCCCGTCACCTGAGGGGCTGGCAGGGGGGATTCACTGCCCCCTGCTATTGCAGGACATCCCCCAAACCCCCATTTTTGAGCTCACGGAGGGAGGGGGGGGGGCAGCACAGGATGGCAATGCCTCAGCTGTAAAATACTCACTGCTTGTGAAAGCATCAGCTGCCAGAGGAGCTGAACGCTGGGTTAAGGTAACGGAAAAACATCCGTGATTGAGACTGCGTGGACTTAATGAGTGTCCCCCGCCTGCCTGGGGTAGAACTCTCAAGAAACAGGAAACTCCAGCATCCTGTTTAGCATCTCAATGTTCAAGTTGGCAGCAGAGACAAAGCAAGAGAGGCTGAGGGACACCGGACACAGTCTGGGCACTGGCTCGGGGCAGGGGAATGAGCCTGGCACCGGCAGCTCCGGGCAGCGCAGGGCTGCTCAGGGCGAGCCCGTTCTCTGATTTCCTTTTGTTGCCACCACAGCCTTTCCTGTAACAGCAAAAGCCAAATACAGCTCAGCTGGGGTCCTGCTGCTGCTCTAGAAGGTCCCAGTGTCCCCGAAGCACAGCTCATAGGGCGTCCTGTGCCCTGGGGACGATGGGCAGGGCACGGGAGGGTACCTCTGGCAGCGTGTGACTACCCGCAGACCCACAAAGGCTGGAGGCTCCCTGGCCCTGTATAAACCCAGGATTAAACGCTGGCTGTAATTCCCAGGTCTGCATCTCCCATCCTCAACACCCTCATTCACACGGCTCAGCTCTTAACAGCTCCACACACGCAACCCCAACCCATCATTTTGGGGATCTCAGCTGCTGGGAGCAGCTCTGTGCTCAGCCCAACGCGTGTTTGTGCCCGCAGCTTATCCGGAGAGCGCGCCTGGCCTGCCCATGGCTAGCAACAACACTGCTAGCATAGCGCAAGCCCGCAAGCTGGTGGAGCAGCTGAAGATGGAGGCCAATATCGACAGGATAAAGGTAGCGTGGCTGGGGGGTTGGCTGTTGGCTCAGGGGGATGCTGTGAGGCGGTGTCTGCTGCTGAGCAGCTGCCAAAAGCACGCTGTGGGAGCTGGGACGTGGTGGCAGGGCGGTGTTTATGGAGGATGCTGGTCTAAGTGATGGTCGTGGCTGAAGGCAGCAGGAGGTGCTTGGCTGTGGAAGGCAGCGGGAAGTGTTGCCTGGAGTCCTGCTGTGCAGGTGGGAAGGAGTGACCCTCCCTGAGGCATCTCACCTTCTTGGGAACAGGTTAAACCCACGCTGTTTGTCACAGTTGCTGTGAAAACTGTCCTTTGGGCAGTGCTTGGCACTCAGCTTTGAGGTTAGTGGAGAGACCACTGAAAGCAGCATTGTCCTGAAGCCTTTTTCTTATGGATAAGCCCAGTCCTTTCTAGGAGATGTCTCCTCTGCTTAGACTGCTTCTGCTCCACCCTGGTGGAATTGCTGCTTCTGGGCACGTGAAAGCTCATTGGCTTCACGCTTGAGAGCCCAGAGGATTTGTTTTCTCCATCGAGGTGGATTTGGATGACAGCCAGTGCTGGGGAGTGAGGTGCTCCGGGGCCGGCTGCTGGCTGCAGGCACGTCTGGGTGCTTGCAAGCAAAACCTCCCCTCTCAGAGCTGGGGCGAGCTCCGGCGGCTTGTGTCTGGAATAAATAGCCAAGTCGTTGGCTGCGGGCAGCAAATGTTGCTATAGCAGCTGTGGACGTCCCTGCTGAGGGATGGAGGGAGAGCGGGCAGGGAATCGGTGCCTGCTAAAGGCAGTCCTGTCTACGATCGAGTCGGGTGAAGGATGCGAATGGGAGAAGGATCTAAAGGATGATCATGGGAGTGCGTACTGACGGGCGAGCTTAGAGCCCAGAGGTGAAAAACCAGCCCCAACGAGGACGTGCTGTCAGGTCTTTAGTATGATGTTGTATACCCCCCGGGCTGGGGATGCTGCGAGGCCAGCCCCACCGGTAGGATCTCTCAGGTTGGATGGCCCCAGCGCAGCCTGTCCCTAATGTGGGGTCGTTTCATTCCAGGTGTCAAAAGCGGCAGCAGACCTGATGGCGTACTGCGAAGCCCACGCCAAGGAGGACCCTCTATTGACCCCCGTCCCAGCCTCAGAAAACCCCTTTAGAGAGAAGAAGTTCTTCTGTGTGATCCTGTAAACCCTCGAGGAGCCTGACCGGCACTCAGGCCACCCTGAACACTGATGTAGAGTTTTTAGGAACGGGGACGACCTGCTAGTCCACAGAATTTAAACAAAAATAAGTAAAATACACAGCCTGGAAGCTACAGAGATGTGCATGTTTAACGAACCTGGCCACCTTTGGGGGAATAAGATGATCTGCATTGCAAGGCAAAAGATCTGAAGTCTGTAGAGTTGCCTAGAAAGAAAAAAAAATATGTAAAGAATAAATTTGTGTCACTTTTCTGCTCACAAAATTGTTTGATTGTTCCATATTTAAAGCACCAGAGCTGTGCTGAGCAAAGTAACTGCTAAGGATGTGTATAACCTTCTTGGAATGATATTGTTGGTTTCTTTCCAAAATATTATTTTTTATTTAAGTTGTCAGATATATAGCGACAGGTTAGATGACTATGATGTTACTCAGTGTTTGGTCTTGTGCTTTTTAATTTCTGGCGGTAGCGTAGCACAGGGGTTGAGCGGCCCCATGGCGGGTTAGTGAGGACGCCGGCAGCTCCTGCCTGCACCCCATGTGCTGGCAGCTCAGTGTTTCTAGCGAGCCCCACTTTCTAACATTTTGTATATGGTTATAGCTTTGGCTCTGCAAGTACAAGTGAATCATATGTCGTGGTTGGTGCTTCATACTCCTGTGACGACGTTCGGTGGTAGTGCATGAGAGTTTATCTTTGTTCATCCGCTCCAGACTTTTCTTTTCTATCGTTTGACACCACGTGCTGGTGGGAGAAGCTGTAGGGAGGAAACCGAGGCGATGCCGAAAGCAAAGACAACTCCTGCCTTAGATGTGCCTGAAATACCTCCTGCGTTAGGGTAGGTGCCAGCCCAGGCATCGTGGGGTAGCTAGAAATCCGAAAATCAAAGTTGACCGCTTCTTTCCGGGTCTTTCCTCTTCTCCTACACCTCTGTGCCTCTGCCCTCCTCGCTTGGTTCTTGTCCTGCTCTTTCAGCTTCCCGGCAGCATCTCCTCCCCGCTGGGGCTGGGCCGGGATGCTGTCCCACGGTGGGATGCTTCTGCCCCTTCCCACACCCGCTGGCTCCCCCGTTCCCGCTGCCGCCCTGCCGCAATGGGTAAGGGCAGGGGGAGCAGCCGGGGGAGCCGCGGGGCCACCCCTTCACGGAGTTGCCTGATACCTTGTTTACACACAGCCTGAGCTTCACGTCAGGCTGGGAAATTATTCCCAGGTCCGGTTCATCCGCCGCCAGCGTTTCAGGGGATACACGCCACCTTTTTTGGCTCCGCCTCGGGTTAATACTTCTGCGGATGTGGCTTGCCTCTCCTTTCCACTGCTAAACACCTCCTGGCTTTCCCCGCTCATCTACACTCCTGGGAAACTTTGGGAATCATAACTTGGGGATCTGAGTACAAAATTAGGTGGGTGTCACATAAGGGTTTGGGGGATCTGCAGTGACCCCACTAAACTCTAACTCTGAATCAGGTATCAGCTTAAAAATCCCTGTGGATTCAAGAGGGCAATAGTCTCTGGGTAGCTTTTGGCAAATCTTTCTAGCCCGTTAACAAGTGCATTTTGGTTTTTCTACCTTTTCATACTCTTTTTCTAGTCTTCTACAGAGAAGACCAGTTGTTCTAACACTGGACTCAAAACTTTTGGCATCTGGGAACGTTTATATGACACGAGTAGCCTAGATGGTCCCAGCCTTCCCGCGGTGGCTTTCGGCCCCCCTAACCTTCCTGTTTCGATCTTTTTACTACAGTTCACATAGCTTTAGGATGAAGGATGGATGAAGTCGTTTGCTCTGCAGCTGGTTTCACTCTTGGTGTTACAAGGCAGACATGTAAATACCCTGTCCTGGGTTTGTCTTTTCTTTTTAACACTGATTTACCGTCACAGAGGGTGAAGCACAGCCGGTCTGACCCAGGGCTCACACCCCAACCCTTCTCAAATGCTGTCATGAAGTGGTTTGTAATAATTTTTTTAACGACTTGCGTATTTTACAACTCGAATTCTTAATAAATAAACGAATTTAAAAAGCTGCATGAGGAGTAGGGGGGGGGGGAATTTTGAATTAGCCTAAACTACTCATTGAAGGTGTTTTACGTTGCTGGTCTTTATTTTATGTTGGTAGTGGTGTTGACATTGGTGTGCTGCCAGGTATTTCACCCCAGTATTTATATTTACACAGATACGTCTTTGTTAGCCAAGTAGAGATAGACTGCCAAGACCGTTTCCCCCCCCCCCCCCCCAA